GTTCCCTACTGAGACCCACCACTGGTAAACATTCAAGGCCCAGCCAGATGCTGTGGTATTTAAACAACAGTTTTACACAGCAGATACGGACATGAGCACTACATATTTCAGTTAACATTGACTCAAAGAAAATTGGATTTTTTTTCCAACGATATAAGCCAATAATTGCCAAAACAAAACATTTACTTCTGGGAGTCTGTATCTACTTAGTATTTTGCCATTCTTTTTTTTTTTTTTTTTTTTTTTTTTTTTTTAATGTAAGAACGTTCAATTATTTATTTATTTATTTATTTATTTATTTATTTATTTATTTTTGCTGGATTTTGTTACGTTTCCTTTTTTTTCCCTAAGTTCTGGGATACATGAGCAGAATGTGCAGGTTTGATACATAGGTATACATGTGCCAGGATGGTTTGCTGCACCCACCAACCCATCACCTACATTAGGTATTTCCCCCAATGCTATCCTTCCCCTTGCCTCCTATCCCCCAACAGGCCCTGGTGTGTGATGTTCCCCTCCCTGTGTCCATGTGTTCTCATTGTTCAGCTCCCAACTATGAATGAGAACATGCAGTGTTTGGTTTTCTGTTCTTGTGTTAGTTTGCTGAGAATGATGATTTCCAGCTTCATCCATGTCCCTGCAAAGGACGTGATCTCATCCTTTTTTATGGCTGTATAGTATTCCATGGTATATATGTGCCACATTTTTTTTACCCAGTCTAACACTGATGGGCATTTGGGTTGGTTCCAAGTCTTTGCTGTTGTGAATAGTGCTGCAATAAACATACATGTACATGTGTCTTTAGAGTAGAATGACTTATAATCCTTTGGGTGTACACCCAGTAAAGGGATGGCTGGGTCAAATGGTATTTCTAGTTCTAGATCCTTGAGGAATCACCACTGTCTTCCACAATGGTTGAACTAATTTACACTCCCACCAACAGTGTAAAATTTTTCCTATTTCTCCACATCCTCTCCAGCATCTGTTGTTTCCTGACTTTTTAATGATCACCATTCTAACTGGCATGAGATGGTATCTCATTGTGGTTTTGATTTGCATTTCTCTAATGACCAGTGATGATTAGCTTTTTTTCATATGTTTGCTGGCCGCATAAATGTCTTCTTTTGAGAAGTATCTGTTCATATCCTTCACCCACTTTTTGATGGGGTTGTTTAGCTTTTTTTTTTTTTTTTTTTTTGGTAAAGTTGTTTAAGTTCATTGTATTTTGCCATTCTTACAACAACAACGACTTAAATCTGAACTTGAATACTTGTTCTTAATCTTGAATAACTCTGGTTGGTCCAGTTAATTTCTGTGACTATTCCTTGTCCTCTAGGTGATGACTGCTCTGTTTTCAGTCACGACCTTCCCAGTTATATTAAAGATAATTTTGAGTCCGCAAGAGTCACCGAGGCAAACTGGGAGACCATTCAAGGTGGAGTCATAGGAAGTGGCTGTGGGCAGCTGGCCCCCTACGCCCATGGAGACTCACTGTACTTTAATGGCTGTCAGATCAGGCAAGCAGCTACCAAGCCTCTGGATCTCACTCGAGCAAGGTACCCAAACATCCATATTGTAGTCCAGACATAGAATTAGTCAGTGAAAACCTATCATTTGAATTTGGGACAAGGAAGCATATGTGTTTCACAACTCAGAATTATGCTTCACTTAACTTTATTAGAGAATTGCTTTGTATTTCTTCACTCACAGTGGCTGAGTGGTGGTAATGTAGGCATAAGCCCAGAAAAATGGCCAAATATTTTTTTTTAATGATTTGGGATAAACTACATAGATAATTTAATGTTGAGCACAGGCAAATATATAAATGTGTATGTGAAGTAAATTTGTAGCAATGCAAACATATGCCTATATTTAGCACACGTAAGTACAATAAATAGAAATGGAGGAGGGATGGATGAATGGATAAGATCTTTAAAATTTTATGTGCTATAGTTGCTGAGGGTTAATGCAGAGTAGAGTGGGCAGAGACCTTGCAAATGGACTAGGGAAGTGACTGACAAAGACATAAGGAGGACTGAATTTCCTTCCCTATCTGCGCTTCGCAGCTTTGGCTTCCTTATCCAGAGTAAACACAGCTTTTTGTCTATATAATTCAAGAAAAGATTCCAAGGCTTAAAAAAGATTGCTAGGTATTATTGTAGAGTATTTCTTGAATGCTGAAAAGTGTTCAGTAGCTATGAGAATATGTGTTTGATTAATGGGAAGATAGTTTACTTAAAACCTTTCACTTTGGAAAATATAATATTAGTGTTGTATTTTCACAGGCAGAAAGGCAGGTTTGGGGGCCCTTAATATGATAAACAATGAAAATAAAATTAATTCCTGTATGGCAACCATGATATGATAAAAGTTGCATCAACCATCTTCCTTTTTTTTTTTTTTTTTTTTTTTTTTGCCTACCAAAAAGAAATACTTAATCTAGAGATAACCTGGTGTTTTCTGTGACACTACCATATATAGCTGCAACTAGGTACATAGTAATGGCACACTATGTTTTAAATTAGTTTATGCATTTATACGTTTCTAAATCTAGCTCTTTATTCCACCACCTACTTTAAATTAGGTACTCTGTTAATCATGAGGAATCTTATGAGGATTTATTTCCCATGCGTAAAAGCTCTATCTAGGCCAAAGATGACAATGAAAAGCAAAATGTCATGTTGAACAGAATAGCAGACATGGTTCAGAACCTGCACATCCTAACTCAGTTTTCCTTCAGCTCTAATCTCCAGACAGCCTTTCCTAAAATAGTCATAATTTATCCCCATCCAGATGTGTTCAGCTTGGAGTTATCTGTAAAAAGAATGCAGCATAAATATTGTGGTTGTATTCTGTGTCCTCAGCTGTCTGTTTGGTCCATATTACCTTTCAGAGAAAAGAAGATGTTTTCAATGAAATACTCTTAACAAGATTTCCAACATCATGAAAAGAGGGCACATCTTTGAAAGTCAAAAATACTTTCTTTGTATAGAAAGTCAGCCTGAGGTCTTCACATGTATAATATAGAAGACAATATGAATAAATTTTGTTACTAACAGCGATGTAGTCATAAGACTGGCTGCTTCACAGATGTGAGGGTGATCTGGCTGCGACATCTGTCACTCCATTGATCACCAGGGTTGATTCAGCTGATCTGGCTAGCTAGGCAGGTGTCCCCTTCCTCCCTCACCACTCCACATGCATCCCTCCCAAAGCTGCATGCTGGGTGAATAGGATGACCATCCCCAATAGAGGTGGACCAGTCTTTGGTGAAGGGTATACAAGTAACTGTGCTCCCTTGCTAGAACCTCCAAACAAGCTCTCAAGACTGGCTGCTTCTGGTTCTACTATATTATGAACTTGGAAATTATGGACTTTAGAAACAAGAAAAGACTAAGGAAGTATAACTCCTTTAATACTTCCTGAATTTAAAGATGATTTCCCAGCCGGGCACAGTGGCTTACGCCTGTAATCCAGGCACTTTGGGAGGCCAAGGTGGGTGGATCGCCTGAGGTCAGGAGTTCGAGACCAGCCTAGCCAACATGCTGAAACCCCGTCTCTACTAAAAATACAAAAATTAGCCAGGCGTGGTGGTGCACACCTGTTATCCCAGCTACTAGGGAGGCCGAGGCAAGAGACTCACTTGAACCCAGGAGGCAGAGGTTGCAGTGAGTCAAGATCACACCACTGCACTCCAGCCTGGGTGACAGCGCAAGACTCCATCTCAAAAAATAAATAAATAAAAATGAAGATGGTTTCCTCGTGTTTTTCAGCAAAATCATGTTTGTCTTGCAAATTGGGAGCACGTCGCAGACGGACAGCTGCAACAGTGACCTGAGTGGCCCCCACACTGCGGACAAGGCGGTGCTGCTGCAGTATAGCGTCAACAACGGGATCACCTGGCACGTCATCGCCCAGCACCAGCCAAAGGACTTCACACAAGCTCAGAGAGTGTCTTACAATGTCCCCCTGTAAGTGGCTCAAATGGAAAGGCATGGTCTCATGCACAATCTCTTTGTGAATCCCTGGGAATCACAATGCCACAAAACTAGGTGGTGGCAGAACCAAGACTAACCCAGATCTCCAAAGTGGTGTTACTATTTTTGATTAGGACAAGAAAGGCACAAATTAAAACAAGGAATAGGGACAAGAGGAAATAGACGATAATAACTAAATGCAAGGGCAGTTTTTGCCTATTTCCCTTGCTTTAACTTGTTTTTCTAGTCTTAGAAAACATTTATTTTCTGCTGGCATGCTAGTTTGAAATTTTAGTGAGGTTAAGTAGTCATGTCAGTTTTGCTTTGCATTGTAAGCCCAGCTTCTAGCACAGGGTCTGTCACACAGAAAGCACTCCATGCTTGACTAAATATCTTTGGACATTAATGGAACAAGTGAAAGGAGGGAGAGAGATGGAAAAGTTTTACAAGTCCTTGAGTAGCCAATAAAATTTGATGCTGCTCAGAATACTATGACTTAAGCAAATCTGAATTCCATGCACAACATTTTGTTGATTTAGATTAGCCTATTATAATATTTGACATCTAGAAGTCAAATACCAAAAAGTTCTGCTTCCTAATGTATAATCTCTTTGTCCCTCTGTCTGTGACCCAGGGAGGCACGAATGAAAGGAGTCTTACTGCGCTGGTGGCAACCACGCCACAATGGAACAGGTCATGATCAGTGGGCTTTGGACCATGTGGAGGTTGTCCTGTGAGTATCTGATACATGGCATCCCATGTCCATTTCAGAAAGGTCTGAAACTCCTTTGATATGGCATGCTCCTTAGTAAGAACCGTTTTTGATGAGAAGCCCCCACAGGAGCACTTTGGCTTACACTCTTTTGCAACTGCAAGCTATGGCTCAAGTCATCAGTGAAATAGCAAAGCCCCAAATGAAATGTACCTTAGAAAACCTCCATAAGCACAACATTTATTTAAGGATTGACAATATTGGTTAAATTGGATAAAACAAAAGTCTCCAGGTAAATGAGAAACCATGTCTTAAGGCAGATCTGGGTTGCCTTATAAAATGAAATGACATCCTTGAAGAGGAAGGATCTGTAGTGGGCAGTGTCTGACGTGTTACTAACTAATGTGCCCAATTACAGACATTCTCCATTTAATGATGTGGGGGTTGCAACTAGAACAAAGAATTTGTGGTTTGAGATTCCTCCTGACCAATCCCAGCACCTAACAAGTTAAAGGTGTTTTTCCCTCTATATAATAAAGCTGTCACCACTCTCACCTGGCCGGGTTGACTGTTCCCTCACAGACAGATGACTTGCTTTTTCTCTAACGATCTAGTTCCTGTAGAACTGGAATGCTTATGTCTCGACGGGTTCGGACTGATGGCTCCAAGTGGTTGGCAAGGAGAGGCGAATCTTCTCGGTAGATAGGTTCAAATGTTCATTCTGTTTACCAAATCCAAAATGAAATCAGTCCCTTGGCTGATTTCAGTCATTTTGCAAGCAAATTTAAGTGATTAATTGGTAGGAAAACTACCAGAGTTGTTTTCGTTCAGTCATAGCCATGAGCTGAATTTTTCAGTCTTGAGCTAGCCCTCGTCTTAGTTTTCACTGAGGCACCTGCTTGCATGGCATCCATATCAACCCCCAAATCCAAGAGCAACCCGGTCCCCACACTAGCCTCCTGTGCGCGCTGCTGCTTTTGGACAACTTGCTGGGCTCTGCCTCCACAAGACAAAGTTGAAGTTTAAAGTAACAGTCCAGACTCATTTGAATCTAAATATGAGGCTGATGTTTTACTTAGATACTGATTTCCTCAGACTACGTTATTCCAGCAGAATAGCCTGGGTCCTGAAATGAATCTACGTACAGTAAGGTCTACGTACGTACAGAGAGATGTCTACATAGACCAAAATCCAACCCTGGAACCATTTTGCCCTGGCTGTTTGCCTTTCAGGACAGCACTTCTCAATCTGTTTGAACGTCAAAATCACTTGGGAAGCTTTTGAAAACATCAACGAATGTCCCAATGCCCAGGCCCATCCCTTTGGATGAGGCTTTAAATTGATGTGCAGTGGGAACTGGACATCATTCTTGTTTTAAAAGCAGCTCAGGTGATTCTAATAAACTGGTAGAGAATAAAATTAGAGTCAATAACCACTTCTTATCTTTCAAGCGGCTTGCCAATACAATTTGCATTAATGGGGCTCCCTGTGCCTGACAAAGCATTACCAACTCCTATGGAAACTTCAAAACCTGACAGTCCTCAAAAGACGGCAGGATACTAATCCTGCCCTTGAGTAAACACAATAATTTTTAACGTATCACACATTTAAGTAGATATTTTCATCCTGCCCAAACAATCAATTGCACTCATCTATTTTGGATTTCAGAGACATATCATCACCAGTAATTTCCTCACTTTGTACTAAGATTAAAAAGCAGGGGCGAGGGGTTCAGAGGTGCCAATATACCAGCCAGTGTAAAAGCAACCCCTTCACATATTGGAAACAGAACTCTATTCCTTGCTCCCTGTCAACCTGCTGCCTCAGAGGTTCTCAGAGCACCGGCAGGAAGCCTCAGCACACAGCACCCAAGGAATCTCCCAGGTCACCTGGTGTTGGAATTAATGCTTATAAGCAACTACCAGCATCAAGCTCCGTATTTTAAACACTTTGAAGAATTTGTCATCTACCAGGCTCATATCCTTATAAGTCTGTTCTTATCCTGCATTATCTCAAACTCTCAGAGCACTAAAACATTTTGAATGAGACAAGCGCATTGTTACATTTGCATGGTGTTGTATGCTTTGAATTTTATTCCAAGTCTTCTTTCAGGAATAACTTAAAAATTATAACTTTATATATACCACCACATGCTTTTATGTATATATAATTGCAAAAGCAAATGCAGTCTCTTTAATGACATTTCAAAAATTTGTTAAAGGAATTCCTTTATTTTCCTGCTTTTTGAAGAAAAGAAATATCTCACAAAGCCGAGTTCAATAAATGAGTTGTTTCAAAAAATGTATAATAAGATGTTATATTTCCAGAACTATGTTTTTGATGTTTTGCTCTGATCTTATAGTTTAACATTTCTATATCACTCTACCCTTTCAAAGCACTTCTTTTCAAAAGAGCCACAAACAGTTTTAAGGCATTCATTCATTAATATGCAATTAGTAGCTCTACAAAATAATTACTTCAATTCATTCATTTATGTGATGAGCTCAAAATAAACAAGTTCCAGATAATTCAAAAAATTAAATATAATAGTTTTCCAGAGTGTCTTTCAATCACATGAGGCACAAAGAAGCTAGAGCCAAGGTTCATGTCATGATCACAAATATTCCTAATTATAACTTTGCTCCAAAGAATGTATATTTAGAAATAGGTGGAATACTTCCATAAACCCCTATTAACTGAAAGCGTTCTCTTAATTAACTGCAGTTTTGTATCAGAACACTTGATTATTTGAACTAGCAATGTTAACTCCTCAAGCATGGCGGGGAGAGGAGCAGACTGAGGCTTGTATCTTAAGAGATACAAACCCTACCTAACTGTATGTTACAAACAGGGCTACTGATATGTTTTTGCAACTAATGGTTGGGGCATACATTTCACTTAGGAATTTTTAGAAATGTACTTCTTTTTTTAAGAGAAGGTTGGCTTTAATCTAACTTTATTACCATAGTTTCGCTTTTGTGCATGTGCACCAAGGACACATGCTAAAAACCCCTAGAAAGAAAAATTATGGTGATGCATGGTATCTTATATTGAGTTTAACCTCAGTACTGCCCATATTAACCAAGAAAACACAAGTTTAATGAGAACAAATTTAGCACTTTCAACAATATTTCAGGATATGAGTGTATCCTAAATGAACAAGATTTGTAATCTTTTTAATTAAATGGTTTAATTCTAAAATACTACATGTGGAAGGATTTGAGTTTCATAAATATGGACATACAGAATGACAAGCCCCACACCAAAAAGATGAAAACCTCCCTTTTAGCATTTAACAAGCAGTCTGTTATGCTTGTTTGAGAGTGTAATCTTCCCACGCTCATATTTTCCAATAAAATCTGCACATGAAAAGCATTTCACGATGATTAGCCCCTGCTAATCTGCCGTGTAACAGAAGAACCGAATTGACAGATATTTTTCCAGCCTCACTAGCTTACAAAAAGTCCTCATTCCATAAAGTCTGAATGATGTGGCATAACACGATCATTGACAATCAAGTGTCAGAAAAATAATTTCTCTGAATTCATTAGCTAGCATAGAATATTTATTTTTCAGTATATGTTTATGAATACATTGGGCAGATCCCTCACAAGATCCATGCTGGTGAGGTTCTTCTTAGGATAAAAGAGAATTTGTTGTCTTAACCATTTTTGTTGGGCACTCATACTTCTATCCTAAGAATCTCCCTCACCCAACTCGCATTTCATTCACACATCACATTTCCTGCGTACGTGTCTAAGTCACACCTGTCATGTGTATAATGAAGTGGGCCAATTTTTGCATGTGTACCTTGAAAGCAAACTGCTCAGTAAAAAGCCTTCGTGAATGAATTGACTAAAAAGTGAATTATTATCACATTTACGGAGAACTGCAAACCTTATGTTGCTAACTATAGTCTTAAAAGCATTTATCAGTTTTTAAAATGAGTTCCATCGTGACCATCCCCTCATGCTATTCATTATCAAGATACTGTCACATTTTTGGCACAAATGATTTATGGAGATGAGCATATTACATTTGTTGCAAAGCATATTTGTCCTTTATTAAATTTGATTGTGTTATCTGACATAGAAGACTTCTGTATTTTTTAAAGTCCATTCCTTAATATATTCAGGAATTAGTATTTCCTACAATGTAAAATAATTGAAAATCAGATAATAAAATTAGTAGTTATTAAGCTATTAATATTTATAATTTATATGCAACATTTATGCCAAATGTAGTACTACAGCTACATGTATCTTAACATATGGTTATGAGCAAATATTGCATGTTGCATTACATAGAAAAGTATATGTATATATTGGGTATAGAAGAATAAGAAATAACTTCTTTAATTTTTATTTTCAAAAGAGATGAAAAATCCTATATTGCGTCTAAACCTGATCAGACTTTTATGACTAATCACAGTGCTGCATGCATTGAAAGGCATTTTTTAACTTGTGTTATATTTCATTATTTGCTGTCATTGGTTTTCCACTAGAGTAAGGTAAGTCCTCCTTACTAAATCTGGGGAACTGTTTACTAATAAATAGTTTCATCAGTGTCACCAAACTTAACTGAGAAGTTTTGTAAAACACCTTTGCAACTTAAAAAAAAAACTATGAAAACAGTAATAAATGATACTGGTACATACTGGAACATTTGAAACTTATATCCATGTAAATTCAGAGCCAGTCAAATTGAGATAAGTCCCTAATATATACAATATCGGGCACAACAGCATAGACCAGAGTGCTAGTCAGCATTTTGTCATTGGGCAACAGATTTGACCTAGATTCTCCTCTGTGCTTGACACTGTATTGGGTGCCTTTGAAGTACTCACAGTTGACAAATTTGTTATGAGGGACAGGGGAAAATAGAAATGTGTGCAAAAGATTTAGGGACTCTGATTACATGTAATGTCTTTTGAAAGACCTACTATGTTGAAGATGCATGAGGGTCCCTTGACTTACCAATTCTCCTCTAAGTTATTAACTGAATTGGCAGATGGAGTAGATGTGTTCATAATACTTACGAGTTCTAGATCTTGTCCTTAGGTAAGATTGGCCACTTTTAATATATACTTATATTTGTCCTCTGAGATACTTTAAAACTTAAGAAGGCAAAATGGTTATAATTTATTGAACATCTATATATAGTGCTAGAAGTTTTCATTTCATCCTTACAGCTCCTGAGGTGCACATGATTTGATATTATTCTCATCCCCATTTAGCAGAGAAAAGAAATATGAAATCTTCCATATGTGTGAGATATTTGTGCCTGCACTTACTTGTGTGTAGCCTTCCTGAAAATGCATGGCCTTTAAGTCAAATGTGTGGCATCCTCTATGCAGGCAAGTTTCAGTGATAGTTTGAATGGCAGCTTCCCATCTAACACTCACCAATATTTCTAAGATATGTTGAATAGTCCACTGGATTCTTATGTCTGCATTCATATAAATCATTATTCTACCACGTTTTGATAAATTACTGACAAGTAGAAATGACTATATTTCTATGAGCTCAAGTTAGTATCAATTCTCTATCTCCTCCATTTCCTTTAGAATCTATTAAAAACTCAATTGAATTGTTTTCATAATAATAAATGAGCTAAGATTGTGTCTCCTTTGAAGAGTAACAGTTCAAAAGAGCACAGAGTCACTATTTACTCAAAGATCTTGCAATGGCCATATTTCCTATGCAGAAACAAGGAAACACT